CCCCTCCTCCCCCTCCCCCCCCCCACCTCAGAGTGAATCTGAAAACTGGCCTTTGTGGTTCTAATTAGCTTAATATAAAGGTGCTGGTTTCCTGGCTCCTCTGCAGCCCACCTGGCAAGCTGCTGGAGACCTCAGACCCTGAGACAGCACACGAGGTAGACTGCCCAGAGCTGGGGCTCCATCCCTTTGTCTGGAGAATTTTGAAGTTTTTGGTTTTTGTTCTGAATCGGAACAAAATCCATTTTGGAAATAGCAAAATCCTCCACAAAACATTTTTCTGCCTCGCTCTCATTACCATGTGATAAAGGTACACACCCCTTTTCCTAGAGAAGACAAGCCCTTGTGTGAATGCTTCATCGAGTACTCGCAGCACAGCATAAGGCTAAAATTTCTTGCTTCATTTACAAGTTGATTAATCCCCAAGGCCAATTGCTTATCATGTTCCTTTCAATGGGGAATATTCCCCGACAATACATTTTTACCATGCACTACAGCAAAGGAGACGGACTACATTTGTTTGTTATGCCTCCAATGAGATGTGGCAACAAAGTGCCAGTGCAGTTGTCAGTGTGTCCTATTGAACAAATAGGACTGCTCTTTATCATTCCCACCTGAGTCCCATCCTCTCCCCTTGACTACAGTAGGAGTTGTGGGAGCTCAACACCTCTCAGGATTAGGAATACAAAGACAATTAAAGTCAGTAAAATGACTCGCACTGTGGGTTTTGTGATCAACCCCAACACTCGACTCTGCATGACTGATTCTGTGCTGAAAAACCACAGCAGTGCACCCAACTGTTTCATGTAGGTGGTTAGTGATGTTTATTTGTGAAGTACTGAAAGAATCTCTTTAAAAAGAGAAGTAGAGAGAATGTCACTGCAGACAGACTTTCTTTTGGTTAAGGTGTGAACAATAGAAAGATCTAAACAAACATGTTTTATATTATCTGGAAAACTACAATTATGGAAAAATGCCATGAAACAGATAAAGATTTAGGGCAATTGACTCATAACTCAGCTAAGAGAAATATAACACTGATGAGGCACAAAGAGCTGTTCTTGATACAGTTTAGGACATAGTCAAGGTTTATAGATTTGATTTAAATGTGAAACAAAACACCCAGTTGTTGCACCATGAACATCATCATATTTTTGATGTGCTCAGAAAAGCAAAAACACACCAAAAAATACATTGCAATTTTCAACTGCATCAAATCAGTTCTCATGAGAAGAAGGTAAATTGTACATGTAAATATGCAGATGAGGGTGGGAATTATAATCTCAGTGGGCCAGTGTGAGAATGAGGAAGTGAAACTTTCTCCTGTCTCACCGAAAGTTTAAAAATAGGGGTGGGGGGAGGATAAATGGAGAAAAACAAACCATTTAAAAAGAAACTTAAGGGACTGATCCAGTTTCCATTTAAGTCAGTGAAAATCATTCCCACTCCAGCTGGTGCAGGAATTAATCTCAAATGGGCATGACAGAGGAATTCCTCTGGTTTCAAGGAAAGAAGGAATCCTCTCACCTGCTCAGTAACTGAGCCACTCTGCAAGCACTGTGGACTGCAGCAGCATTAACATCCACTTAGGAGGGAGGAGGGTCAGCCCCTGGATCTGTCTTGTCTAAACTCTGGACTGAAATATTAAGATCCTAATCCAATAACACAGCTTTATATTGACACCTGTTATGCATTTTGGCTACATAGCACAGACAGCCCCACTTACACTTGTTACTTTCTCATTGGCACCAGCAATACCTCTTAAGGGGAATTCCCTGAAAGGTCCAATGAAAGACAATCAAGCGTTGTTTTCTCTTTGGTTCAACAGGAAACTAGACCCAGTGGTGGATTAGCCAGGGCCAGTGGGTCCTGTGTCCAGCTGCCACAGCCAAGTGGGGGGGCCGGAAAAAATGGGCACCCCTGTGCCCTGACCCTGGTCCCCAGTTGGAGCACCGGGGGGGGTGGGGGGTGGCAGAGTAAGGCATGCCCCAACCCCATTTCCCCGGCAGGAGTGCCAGGCGGGCAGAGTGGGGCAAGCCCCCGCACCCCGAGCCTGCTCCCTGGCTGGAGGCAGGGGGACTCTAGGCAGAAGGGGTAAGGAGGGGCCGCCTCTTGCTCTGGCCCAGAGGGCCCCACAAACCCTAATCCACCCCTGATTAGACCCATTGTTTAAGAAGGAAAACAAACAAACAAAACCACAGGATTTAAAAATAGTACCAAGGTGATTTTTTAAAGGAAGGTATTCTAGAGCCATATGTTATATAGAAACACACACATACATATACATGGATCATGCACCATCCCCTCACAGCTCCTAGTGCTAACCAGACTGCACATGCATCATCTCCACACAGTGACTGAGCATGCTGCCTCCAGCCCAGAGCTACAGGAGGGGAGCTGGATTTTCGCTGTAGTGGCAGCTCCCAGCTACTTTGGGCTGGGATAGGCCCAAGCACTGGAACTGAGTGCCGGAAGCCTGAATCTCCTGTCCTCTCAATGCCCCCCTGCTGGCACCCAGCATGTGTGGAGGAGGAAGCAGTTTGATTTGAATGCAGAGGCAACAAAACTGGACTAGGGAGAAGGAATGGAGTAGGTTGGGAGACAGAATCTGGTGAGACTGGGACTGGTCAGGGAAATTCAGGAGATGACTAGGAGCCAGCTGGTTGGGGGGAACGCTGAGATCAGATGTAGAGTTAGGGTGCAAAGGGAGAACTGGGACTAGCTGGGCAAAGGGACTGGGACAAGGAGCCAAGGTGGAAGGGAGATTGAGGCAAGGAGCTAAAATGTGGGTGGTTTACACTGGGATTGGATGAGAAGCCCAGGAATTGGCACTGGCTAGGTGCGGGCAGGGTGAGTTAGAGACTCAGACAGCAAGTCCAGAGGGGAATCCTAGGACTGGATGGGCAAAGAGCGGGGGACTAGGATGAAGAACCCAAGGAGTGGAGACTGGGATTAAGTAGGCAAGGAGAGACAAGAGTCAGGGTGGAAAAGAGACAGCACTGGGACAGGAACAAGTTGTAGGCGATGGGGCAGAAAGGTTCAAGCTTGGGGAACAGGTAAAAGACTCCATGCTCATTGCAGCAAATTCCCCTCCAGAGCCTGGAATAGAACCCAAGATTCCCGAGTCTCATCATTCCTCGGTTGTCACCATACATCTGCCAATGGGTTTCATAATGTGTGTCTCATCCCCACCTAGTGCTGGTCAATGGAGGATAACAACCTACTATTCTTATCAGTTACTCCATTACTCAAGTGGTAGAGGTCTCTGCAGTGGATCTGAAAGTTCCAGTCCTGCTGATGACCCAAGCAGTTGTCCACATGATTCCATGTGATGTAATTTCTCTTTTCAGTTTGCTTTTATAAAAAACATAGGGAATTACACACACACACACACACAAAACTACTTTAAAAGAACATTATTAAGGTTGCAAAGTCAAACACTCCTCTCACTTCACAAGGGGGCTGTGAGAATAAATTACAGTTTGTGAAGCATTCAAATACTATAGCAATGAGCTCCATTTAAAAAGTCCATGAGGAAATTAATAATTCTGTCTTCAGAGCAAAGTGTGCCACAAAGAAGAGATGGGCCACTCATTGAATGAGGAGAAAATATAATATTAAATAGCTACTCATTCAGTGAGCACCATCCAGTCTGTACACAGAATGAGGCAGCTGTACAGTGAAAAAAATAGTATGTGATCTGCAATTAAGATTATATCATAATGCATATACACAAGGGGGGTGTAAAGTACGGTTGTACAAGCCACCTTAATTCTGACATTCTCTAACTTTTGAATGCTTGACTTTGCTACCTTAATAATGTTCTTTTAACACATTTTTTGTCTGTATAATATACAAGTATGTAGAGGTGATAATTTACACAGTGCACAATTCCCAGTTGTTCCTTGAAAAACTTCCCAGTAATAAAGAAATGAATTTATTTTAAGCTGCAACATCAGCCCACTGAGACTTATTGAACATTCCAAACCCTGAGCAGCTTCACACAGCCACATTTGTTTTTCTCAAACAGCCAGAATAATGTTACCACCCCCTCCCTTTCCACCCCCACTCCCCCCAAATTAACCCTATCTGAGGCCCAAAATGGGCAAGATTCAATCTCAGCCATAAAAGCTTTGCTAGACATAAAAGTGTTATGGCTTTTAAGTCTGATTTCTTACATCTTTGAAGAGCTAGTAGTGGGGGTTTTATACCAATGGGAAAGAGCAATTAATCCCTGTCCACTGGGACAGGGCACTAGCCCTGGAAAAACTCCAATGTCAGAGTTGTGGCATTGTTATGTATAGAGATTCTATTCTCAGACTGTTTTGGAAAGTGTATGTTATATTTATTGGTTTTCATTTTTATCTTTCTCCCTCACAAGTTCTGAACAATGAGACTTATGACAGTGAAGGCACCTGGACTTTACAGGTGGAGGGTTACATATGGGGGGGATATGATAGAGGTATATAAAATCGTGAGTGGTGTGGAGAAAGTGAATAAGGAAATATTATTTACTTGTTCCCATAATATAAGAACTAGGAGCCACCAAATGAAATTAATGGGTAGCAGGTTTAAAACAAATAAAAGGAAGTTCTTCTTCACACAGCGCACAGTCAACCTGTGGAACTCCTTGCCTGGGGAGGTTGTGAAGGCTAGGACTATAACAGGGTTTAAAAGAGAACTAGATAAATTCATGGCGGTTCAGTCCATTAATGGCTATTAGCCAGAATGGGTAAGGAATGGTGTCCCTAGCCTCTGTTTGTCAGACGGTGGTGATGGACAGCAGGAGAGAGATCACTTGATCATTACCTGTTAGGTTCACTCCCCCTGGGACAGCTGGCATTGGCCACTGTTGGTAGACAGGATACTGGGCTGGATGGACCTTTGGTCTGACCCGGTATGGCCGTTCTTATACTCTACAAACATAGCTTTAAAAAAAATATTGGGACTTTCTAAAACATTCATAAAATAGTTTTTTTCCTGTAACATATGACATATACAAAATACTCATTTGAGATGACTGGAATGATCTGCATAACCCACTTGTGGCTTTGCCACTTGGGAACAATGCAACCATCCCAGAGTCATGCCAATGAGGCCTTTATACCACTCCACACCATGACATATTCCCTATATACATTTTTATCTATGTATATATTCCCATACACCCAAGAAGGTGATCTGCATAGTCAGCTATTTTTTCAGTAGTCACATCAACATGTTTCATTGACATGCCACAGACTGATCCAGTCAACTGTTAATCAGAAAGGTAGACAGCATTGGTATCAAGCCCAGTATAGTGTATTATCCTTCAATTTATTGCTTTTTCCCAGAGTGATAATTTTAAAGTGACATTTTGTAGCTGTCAAAAATGTGGGTACTTATTCTACCCATATGTTGTTGCTAAGCTACGCTACTACTATTGTATTTAAAACTGTGAATAGTACGTATGCACTTACGATTGCATTATCATTGAGCTTTTATCTTTTGTTTTTTATAGTTCTGGACTTTGGTTACTGTTTCTTTGTGCTCTGGGATGCGGTAAGTTAAGAAAAAGTTATTCTCAATATAATCACTTTTAATACAAGCATTTGTTTGAATATGCAGAGTATGTATGTGCACAACATAAATCAGAAATCTAAACAGTACTTTTGAACAGGAATCATAAAGATTCTTTAATATGAGACTTTCTGTAATTTGCATAAAGAATGTCAAATGTCCTTGTGATTTTATTAAGGACACTGGGACTACCTGGGGACCTTTATTCGGACTGAATAATACCTTACCGCCAGAGTACTCCCACTGAAGTCAATGAGAACACTCATGAAATATAGTGCTATGCAGAATGAGTTATCAGAATCCGGCTCTGAGTGAGTTAACATGAAAAAGGAGCTAGACAGTGCTGTGTGCAAATGCACTAGCCTTAACCTTTGCAGCAGAATTTTGAAAGCCCATCCTGCACAGAACCCCTCTGCAAGTTCTGGCCTTGAGCTGACCTAGTGATCACGGCATAATCAACACATCTGCCAAGAGGAGGCTTCACAAGTAGAACATTAAGACTTATACAGATCGAGATTGAGACGCACTGACAAAGCAGATACCAGTAATACAACTAGCACCACACATTACTGGTAAGCCCCAAACATTTCTCTCACTCTTGATTACTAAAAGCTCCCCAATTTACCCCTAAATAAAGTGTGGGTATGGGGACAGAGAGACTATCAAATGAGATTTAAAGTATTTTTGCTGTTTCATAGAAGAATTAAGAGTTGCCCCATTCTTCTTAGACACAGAATCATCTAAGTTTGGCTGAGTCACATTTAGTGTTTGTTAAAACCGTACATGCCTAGTCACGGCGCACTCTACCTTGGCATGGGGAAGGGTGTTTGTTGAGAATGTGAACCTACCACATCAGCAGTAAATGTACTGCAGGATTCCGTGACCTTTCCATTTAGGGCTACAATCTGCCACTCTTATTCATAGCAAGTAGTACCTTTGTTCACAGGACTGAGGCCTCTTAGGGTATCTCTACACTGGAATTAAAGCCCCACAGCATGACTGCGGATGGCCCAGATCAAACTGACTTCAGCTCCCGGGCTCAGTCTGCAAGACTGAAAATTGCTGTGTAGATAGGGTGACCAGATTACCACTATAAAATATCGGGACGGGGGCGGAGCCAAAAAGGGGGCGGAGCCAGAGCAAAAAAAAAGTTTTAAGGGGCCTGGGGCATTAGCAGGCCCCGCACGCTGCCCTCCCCGAGTCCCCGCGGAGCCTCCCGCCCCCTGGCCGGCCACGGGCATATGC